GTTTATTCAACCTAAAATTTAATGGTCATTTTAGTTGTAGGATTACAACTATTTAGAATTTTGTCATAATTAATAAACAGCTCTCTTTTTAAAAAACTCATTAAAATTCAAATTTAATTCAATAATCTTCTCCTCTCTAGGGGTTAGTGTCATTGTGTATTCTCATCCTTTTCTCTCATATAAGAGGCTCCAGCTTTTCGAGGGTTGGTGGCAGGAAGAAAGAATCAGCACATTGAAAGTCTTTATCAGTCAATGTGCTTCTTCGTATTAGTGGTAGAGGTATGTCCTTCTTGGTACCCTGTGATATTGAGATGGCCTATTGATTATAGATACTGCATGTAGGTAGTGTATTTGTTCTCTTTAGATTCTCCCTTAGAGGGTCAGTGATGTGACTCCTAAGTATTTCTGAGAGGTTGTTTTTAATGTTTCCTTAATATTGGTCATCCTAATAATTGGTTACAATTGTATGAACTACAGATCACTCCTTTTCAAAGAACATTCCAAGTAGTTCTTCTGGAGTAAGTATGGTCTTTGTTCTCTCCGAGGGCCACAGAGAACTTAAATCACTAGCTATTTTTTCTGTTTTTTTTTAATTATTTTTTATTCCCACCTGTGTTTCTCGACTGTCACCTGCAGTTGAGAAACACTAGTGTAGAATAAAAAAATTCTATCTGGTCTCCTGTGGGTCCACAGGATATCCAACAGGTAAAAAATGGCATAAATGGAGTGTCATATTATGAAATTAGGGAACCACAGGAAGAAAAGAAGGTCACAAAGAGGCTCCAGTTAGAAAAAGTTTGAAAAATACTGGTCTACGCTACAGTCCTTTTAACACTTAGCAGAAATGGGGAGTGAGTAATCTAAGACAAGAAGCAGGGATGATTTTTGGCGGGCATAATATTTTTACATACAAGCGTGTTTACTAATATCAGACCTATTTGGTATAGTTCCCTGATTTCCACTGTGGTGTTGGAAGGTCTGGAAACTACTAAATGTTATAATTACTTCAAGTACTCACGCAAGAATTGTTCATGCTCCACTATTGAACATCATGGGACATGCTAATCGCCCAGAGACTAGAATGCTGAAAGTCTTCTGTGCAGGGGTTTTCTTTCTTAATTAATGACTCAGAGCCCCTCATCTATTAAAATCCATAAAGTGCTCCCCTTTGCTACTTTTCCCCATGCACATACTATATTGACTTAGGACAGAACAGAAAGGCTGTGTCTTCAAGAAGTCAGTGGCCATAACTCTGACCTTAGAATGTGAACTACTTAGAGTACTTTTATTCTTAGCTTTAATATTTAACGTTTCCTGGGCAATACAGAGTTCCAGCCAACTTTTGGTTATGCAAGTTTTTAAAAACAAGTATTAAACCTATTACTTTATTTTCAGAGATTAACAGTCACTGAAGTATAGATGATCTTAAATCAATCATTTAAAAATTATAGTAGACTTTTTGGGCTTAGATCTGCATGCCTGCTCGGATCAGGCCTCCTCCACCCAGATCCCCCATCTTCCAGTATGTAGGTGTTACACCCACCAACTGCCCCTGGCACCATGTAATCCCTTCAATGGCCAAGACCCAGAGACTATAAAAGCCAGATCCTGGAAGAGAACAGCTTAGTCTCCTGCCTTTACGCCTGGCTGTCCTCACTGGGGCCCCTTTGAGGAGGGCGAGTTGAGTTTCCCTCCCCACCCCTAGCAGAGCCCCGGCAGCTGAAGACCTCTTGTTCCAGCCATAGCCATGCTTAAGACCACTTTCCACATGTTCGGACAAGCCTCACGCATGAAGGAACTGGCAGAGGAACCCAGGTGTGCAGGACCTGGGTCATAGATCTCCAAGCCTGCTCGGATTGGGACTGGGCCCCTTCCACCCAAATCCCCCAACTTCCAGTATGTAGGTGTTACACCCACCAACTGCCCTTGGTGCTGTGTAATCCCATCAAAGGCCAAGACTCAAAGACTATAAAACCCAGCATTCGCAGCCACGTGACATCTTGTTATCTAGTTCTTACTCTGGAGAACCAAGCAGGCTACCGAAAGTATCCTGCCCGCAAGGCAGAGTCTGGCAAACTCCCTGTGGCATATTCAATATGCTAAAAACCAGTAACAATGATGGGTCTCATTCTCCTGATCCTGAAAGAGGCTCGAATGTGGCACTTTCTAAAATCTCAGGGCTAGGACGAAGGAGACATTACTGGTGCCTGCTCGAGAAAATCGATGAACAACAGGATGACAGTGATACAGTGATACAGTAGTTTTTTTACCCTCTTTTTTTTCTGTTTGAAGGAAAACTTTTATTTTCTTTAATGCAGAAAAGATGTTTCCTCTGTGTCTTGGCTTTTATTTTCAGTTCTATACTTTATTTCAAATTAGGTCAGAGCTGAGATTTGGGGGACTAGGTATAAAATTGTTAACTTTTTGAAGTTAATTGTTCTACATTTGATAATCTTGAGATATTTTATTTAACTATCAAATAATTTATAAGGGTCAAATTCAAAACTTTCTGCTTTATTTTGTAAATGTGTTTTTTTCTTATGCCACTGCCTTGACTATGGTATTTTTATGTTCTTAAAATCAGACCTTATAACTGAGAGTATACTAAGTTTCTCACTTCTGGTGACTCCTTAGAATTTTCTCCTTCAGTACCATGGTTTATACAAGATAAAAAAGGAAAACCTTTTTACTTTAAATCTTTATTTCTGTTACTTGTTTTCCTTGTTGATAAGAGTAGGCTGAAAGGAACCAGCCCAAAAGCACTTGCCTTCACATGGCTGACCTGGGTTCAGCCCCTGGTACTTCGTGTGATACCCAGAAGTGACACCAGGAGTGATCCCTGAGTGCAGAGTCAGGAGTAAGGCCTGAGCACTCCCAGCTGTGGCCCCAAAACTGGAAAACAGAGAGCAAAGGAATAAAAGAAAGGAATAGAAAAGCAAAAGAAAAAGAGAAAAAAGAAAAAGTTCATGAAGAATGAAAAACGTCATGCCAAGTGCAGTCTCCTAGAGTACTAGCCTTCTTCACAGTTTTAGGAACACAGTTACTGTTTCATCATTAATAAAATATTAACTCTACTTTTAAATGCTCCATATCAAATGAAGATGTTCACTTCTTAATTGCAAAGAGCTTTCATCATAAAGGCAGAAAGACAGCATTATCTTGAGTGTGGCAGTTCAGTCCCGGGACTGCCAACTGTCCCCATTTATCACCAAGGATCATTCCCGAGCCCAGAGCCAGAAATAGCCCCTATATCCCAAACTCTTTCCACCTCAAATGAAATATAAGGTACAGAGAAGTACCACGGGGTTAAGGCAGTTGCCCTCCATCGTACCAACCAATTTCAGTTGCAGGACCCCAGCACCCCAGGACTCAATCCTGACCACAGAGTCAATAATAGCAACTGAGTTCTCAAGTGCAACACCCCCCCAAACAAGAAAAAAGCAAAATAAAGGGAGTGAGGTTATCATGAAAAAGTTGTCATTTTGTTGTTGCTTTGTTTTGGAGCCATACCCAGGACTTACTCTTGCCTCTGTGCTCAAGGATGACTTCTGGTGGAGCCCCAGAAACCATCAGGTATTGTGAACACCATGCAAAACAAGGGCCTTCACCCTTGTGCTGGCTCTCCAGCCCTGAAAAGTTGGCATATTTTTCTTACTAAGGATTGCCTTGCTTACTTCCACTAGTTTTGATTATTATTTACTTGAAATATATTTAGCTTTCCTTATGTTTTCTTCTTTGTACTATGACTACTCAGTTGCACATTACTTGTTATAAATAATTTAGTATTCTTTTGACATTCTATTATTATTATTGATTTTTACTTTATTCTATATTGTCTAAGAAGAATCCAATCCTTCAAAATTTATTAAAACAAAAATATACCTTTTCCTATTGAATAATCTATGCTTAACCTTCTAGCTGTCAATTAATTAAGTTGATTGGCAGTGTTGTTCCAATCTTTTATGTCTACTGTATCTCTTTCTTTTAATGAGAAAGGGCATTGAGTTTGTAATTCTCATTGATTTGCTTAGTTTTTTTTATCCTTTGTCATGTCACTGTGTACTTCACATATTTTTAAAGCTCTTGATATTGATAGGCTTATTTAGAAATGTGGTATCTTCTTTATAATTTATCATTTATTATTATGAAATAATTTTCTCTTTGTATTAATAATTTTTGTTTCAATGCTGACCATTTTCTTCAATGCACTCCAATATTAATATAACACTGTAAGCCTACTATTTGTATAGCATGCTATTTTCTATCTCTAACCCTGTTACTGTCTTTACAACTAATTATGCTTTTTCTAAACATCCTATTGCTGGTTATGCTATTTCTGAACTGGTGTGGCAATCATTGCCTTTTAAAATTAATTTGAATATTTATAGTAGATAACAATATTAATTTTGTCTATCATCTTGAAATTTTTTGTAATATAACTTACTTTTCCATTGGTCCGCATTCTATTTTGGTGGGGCGTCTTAAGGGGTTCTGGGCCACCTTCCAAGCAAAACTGGACCTAGCAGGGTGGCACTTCAATGCACAATCAGAGATAATATAGCGTGGGTCTTGTAGTGAAGATGCTGAGAATTATTCAGGCCACCAGCTGGTGCTCAAAGACCTTCAAGGTGTCACCTGCAGTGCTGTAGGATTCATGAGCTACTGCACATTGAACTGGGGTCAGCTGCATGCAGGATATGTGCCTTCACCACTGCACAATCTCTCAGGCTTTCTCATTTCTTTATTATTTCTATTAACCAGGACTTTTTAGTTCTTTTTATCTCATCAATCTACCATTTCAAAGCCCAAATAACTTGGTATTATGTTCTTAGTGGTGCTGTAGTGATCACCATTTGGGCAATTTTTCTTATCAAAATCTACATTGTATTAGTAAAATGTTCAATACAATTAAAGAACTATAAACAGTATAGTTTTACACCGAAACCTAATATAGTTTGGCACTATTTGTCTTGTAATTTCCCCACGTCCCCCACCAACCAGGAAAGAGTGTGAATGCAGTCCCTCACTACCAAAAATTATGCAGTTGAGTTTCCTACATTTGGGGAAATCACAGGGGTCAGCACATCTGGAGTGCAATGAATAAGCCTCACCCTGGGAAAAGCACCTTCATCATCATGGGATCTCCCCAGCCAGGTAGGTATGTCTTGTAATTTCTTTTGCAGGCAAAAGGCTTCCTAGTCAATCATAGAGGGTCTGAAGCTCTTCCAGTGATTTTCAGCTGACCTGGTCAGTTGGTTCAATGCTAGGGCCTGAGAATGAGGCGCTTCTTGGGTTGTGTGATTCTGGGGATCACCCGGGATGCAGGGATGCTGGGGAATCACCCTCTCCTGCAAGCCATGTAGGGCTACACTTGGTGGTGCTTAGGGGCCATGTGGTGCTGGGAATTGGTGCAAGTCAGGCACTTAATCCCTGATCTCTCCAGCCCCTTGTGTTGTATTTTATGTTTTATATATTCTTGTTTTTTACTTTGCTTATTACACTGACATTAAAATAATGATAAAAATAATCCATTACATTTAGCTACCTATTTACCACTTATCACACTCAGTTCTGCCTAATATTTCTTTATCTCTAAATTTTCATATATGGGGGGTTCACATTTATCCTCAGGGTTTACTTCTGTCTCATGTTGCACTTAACCATAAGGGCTGATGGAGCTAGGAAACCACGTAAGCTGACTCTCTCTGGTCTCTGGTTTTATTTTTTAGCCCTAAGATTTTCCTTTATTATTGTAAAATAATATGTATTTATTACCTACACTATCTCAGGTTTTTTTATTCTCATGATAACTCATTGTCAGGGTTGAAAGATTTTTATTGGATGTCAGAATCTTTTTGTCTCAATGATGACAGATTTTTGTTTCTCTTTCCTTTAAATTTGTTATCTTATTATACTCTGTCTTTCATTGTACCTCATATGATATTATCTGTCTTTCTTATTGTTCTTTCAATAAAATGTAGTTTCCCAACCCCCACCTTTTCACTCTTTGTAAAGATTTATACTTTACCCGCAAGGAAATGATTATAAAAGTGGCTATATTTTAGTGTACTTTTCCTTTGAAAAATTTCTTCTAGTGAAAATGTTAGTGTTCATGAGTCAGAGAAATGAGTTGGCAGCAGACATTTTCTCGAAGAAGACATACGAATATCCAACATCATAGAAAAATAGTATTCAGAAAATTAGTATTTATTTCACTGATTATTAGGGAAATGCAAACCAAACAGCCTGAGATATCATTTCATTCCAGCAAGAATGATCTATATCAAGAAGGCTAAACACAAATAAGTCAGTCTCAATGATGCTGTGAAAGATGGTTGTAAAAAACTGTAATTTTGGTTGAAAAAAATAACACTACAGAGTTTTTTAAATTTAAAAATAAAATAGAACTACTATTAAACCAGTAATATTTATGGTATCCAAGATCTACAAGCAACAGTCTGATAGCACAGCGGTAGGGCGTTTGCCTTGCAAGCCACCAGCCCGGCTGAGCCGAGTTCGATTCCTCCACCCCTCTTGGAAAGCCTAGCAAGCTACCCCTGACGTATTCGATGAATATCCGATATGCCAAACACAGTAACAACAAGTCTCACAATGGAGACATTACTGGGCCTGCTCGGTATAGGGCAGTGATTAAATAAATGTGAGCGGACGTCCGTCCTCCAGAGACATAGTATACTGGGTAGGGCACTTCCCTTGCCTTTGACTGGCCTACCTTCAATCCCTGGGGCCCCATATGTTTATCCGAGCCCTCTAGAAAGGATCCCTGAGTGCAGTCAAGAGTAAGCCATAAGTGTGACCCACAAATGTAGTATAGACACAGAATGGATACTACTCTGTACAAAAGAATTAAATTTTACCTTTTGTTACAATTGGATGCAACTAGATGGTGACTATGTTAAGGGAAGTAAGCTAGATGAAGAAAGACAGATCATCTCACTCATATATGGTATATTAAGAAACTGTAACACTGTATCACTATCATCCTCATTGTTCATTGATTTACAGGAGCAGGTGCCAGTAATGTCTCCATTCATCCCAGCCCTGAGATTTTAGCAGCCTCTCCTTACTTGCCTTTCCCAACGCTGCTGTATTAGAGGCTCTTTCAGGGTCAGTGGAATGAGACATGTTATTGTTACTGTTTTTGACATATCAATTACGCCACGAGTAGCTTGCCAGGTTCTGCTGTGTCAGCGGGATTCTCTCAGTAGCTTGCCGAGCTCCTCTATGATTTGTTGCCTACTGTCTGAACCCAACCAAATATGGTGTAATTATGGAAAATGGGTAGGGAGTGTCTCCAGGAATATGTTCACTCATATGTGAGGCTTGGCCTGAGCATGTGAAAAGCTGTCTGGAGTGTAGTGGTGGTTGGGTAGTGGAGGTCGGCTGCTGGGACTGGGTCCGTTGGGGTGTGGAGGGCTCTCACCTGTCCCCCTCTGGGGCGCCCCGAATGAAAACAACCTGGTGCTGAGTCCAGTGGCATGGTTAAGGGGGCCTCGTTTTATTAAGAAACAAAGCAAGGAAATATACAATGTCCAGCAAAAATAAACCTCTAGACTCTGACAACAGAATTAAAGTTACCAAGCAGAGAAAAAAAGCAATGAAAGGATTGAGTAAACAGAAAGATGTTTAGAGATTTAGTGAAGTTTTTGACATTTTGGTGGTAACTGTGAAGCACAATACAGTTTAAAAATAAAGGTTGGTGTATTTATGAAAGAAAGAAATGGTTGTAATCTGATGAACACTGAAAAGTATGCTGAATCTAACATTCAGGGTCCTGAAGCAGTCATCAGTTTAAATTTTATTTTAAAAGTTAGCACAACAAAATATGTGTATCTTATATTATTTATTTTAGGAAATTAGGAAGGAAAAGACACACCACAATGTACAGAGACACAGTGAATAAACATCCATTAGATTTTTTGGCTATTTTCTGCAGCATCTTGACTCAAATATTTTCATGATTGTATCACACCACTTATTACTTTTAGATTTATAATTCATGAAGAGTCTTTAAGGGTATATGTATTTGCTTCTTAGTCTGACTAATCAATATTATTTTATAAACAACTTATAATGAAGAAATCAAGAGAGACATTGAGTGCATTCTCCTAGATTCACTGATTTATACTGCATGTTTCTGTTTTACCATGACTATGTGCCATTGGGACAATTGTAAGCAAAATCATTATTCTCTTGCCCTAGTGACACTTACATTTCTAGAAGGTAGGAGAGACAATAATTATTCACACATAATGAAATGCCATATAGCAGTGCATGCTTAGGGAAATAATAAAGCTATGTAAAGTAAAGAGTGCTAGGAAATATTTTAGAGAGGGTAATGAGACATAGCCTTTTTTAATTTATGATTTTAGAGAAAACAATGAAGTGAGATTGGGGGAAAGTATGGGATCAATTAAATATAAAAATGTTTATGTAATTTAAATTTCCCAGTTTTTGCATAGCTTCCCTACTGATTACTGATGCAAAAAATTTCACCATGAGATTTGTAAGAGTTTTTAAAGTTATAGCTAAAGTGTTACTGAAAAAATGTACTACTCATGAGCCTCGATTATCAAATCACTTCTGGTTAATTCTGTCACTTTAAGATTAAGCCAATCTTTAGATCAAGGGAAGGACAAATAACTTCAGTTTTGTCTTCCTCTTCCTTCTTTCTCTTATTCCAGATTGAAGAGCTTCTGGCAAGGTTTACATGCAAACATGACATTGTGACACATTGTACCCTAAAGTCTTCCATATTCTCTACTGATTTGGTCTTTGAGAGTCTTCTTTGTCCTTGGCTGTCTCGACTGCTGATGGCACAAGTCTGTGTCTCTTGGCATGAGACTGATTTGGTCATGCTGATTATGAGAGGTTGATCTGACTCCTGTTTCATCCCTGGAGTTTTCCACTCTTATAGACCTATGCCTCAGAGAGACATAGACGCTAGTACTCTGGGGAGCTACCAGTCAGTATTCTCAGCTAATATCTAAATCCCACAAAGGAACACCCAGAACTTTCTGGACTTTACCCTACCACAGTATAGCCAAGGGAGAGTCCATCCTGCAAAAATGCTACACCAGAAGTCTCTTAATCAACTCTTTCTTCTTGATTACCAACTCGTCTCTTTTTAAATGAGAAGTTGCTATTAACTTCACATTGGAGTAGCTTGATTTTCATTTTGTTTTCTCGCATTCTAAAATGAATATGAGACAGAACAAGGGCTCTTCATTTATGAGGGCTGAATGTAAGATACAAATGGTTTTGCTTTTAATTCCAACAAAGAATTGGCTTGGAAAGTAAATAACTGAAGTCTAGAAGACTGATCCCATAAAATGAACCAGAGGAAAGAGTTTCATGCTAAAGACCTGTTGAGCAGGAATATCTCCTCAAGGGCCATGTGTGAATTCAAGATCTCTGAGTGGGATGTTACTTTCACATAAGAGAAAGCCATTCATCTTGGGCATTCGTCTTTCTTGATGGATGATGAAACCCAAACATTATAAATTAGTGTGAATAGAAGGATTAAACAACACTGTAGAAATTCTATAACTAGATAAGATTTTTTTTAATGTAACATGGCAGACACACCTGTTTACATTGGCTTTTGATAAACCTGGTCATTGTTTTCTGGGGCCAATTTTTGTAGGTTGCTTTTTCTATCTTTACAATAAGTCAAGTGTTAAGACAGCGAATTCAGTGGCTAAGGTATTGCTTCTAGATTTAAAGGAATGAACTGTAGTTTGCATTTATTTTTCTAGGCCAGGCATATATTTCATAATAAAATAAAAGTGATAAAATGATGAATGTAAGTGGAGAATGTCACAGACTTTCTGCCTTTGTCAATTCATATATCTGTGATATGTGCCAGCTTACTTTTAACCTCTGGTTAAACAGTCATTAACATACTGTTGACAATAAAAACTAACTCCCTCCAGAGCATTAATTAAGTAATGTGAAAGGGCTTTAGATAAGTGATGTAAGCAACAAGGTCCTTCCTGTTTTATAACCAGTTTCTCGAGGAGAAAGCCCGATGCAATGTCTTGAGTTTCAAAGTACTTAGGTATATAATTGATAAATAAACACTTAAATATTTTTCTTATGAAGAACAAATTAAATCCAGGGTACATTCTGATGTAATTAG